GTTGGGCAGTTGGTAGTAGTCGTTCCCTATGATTGGCAATTGGCTCTGTGGTGGGATTTGCCATGAGCAACTGAGTAGCTGCTCATTGTTAAAACCATCCACTTGGGTTATTTCTGTTGGAGCAAACAGGTGGGATATATCTTGAGTCCTGCCTTGCTGGAAGGTATAACTCAATCACCACCTTTAGCGTCCTTGAGGTTATACCTATGAATTCTCTGGGAAGGTTCGCCCTCCTCTTGCTCTGGTTCTACGTTTTGGCCCATCATCATCTCACCCCTGGATTTAGGACAGCAGCCATCATCTGATCTGCTAATTGAGGTTCATCAAACCCCGAGAACTGGAAGATCCTCCAGACCTACTTACAGACCTAGGACTTGCCAACCTGCCAGACTCCACCACCATTACATGAGACAATCCCTTGGGTGTGTGTGAGTTCTGTGAGGCATTACAGTGAAATACAGAACCCTAAGGTGGGGGAGATTACTGAGAAGAGGAGGAGGAGTTAATGCCTGAAATGATGGAGTGGCATGGTAGTTTGGACATTTGGGACGTCTTTAACCTCCACCTCATGGGGACCAGCCTTGTGCTAGTCTTTCTAAAAGAAACTGTTCAAGCAGCTGGTTTATTGCTTAGCTGAAAATTAAACCACAGGAGTAAGTTCAATTCCATGCCCAAAGTGTTACTAGGGTCCATAGTCTCTGGGGTTTAAAAGTCTCTATAAAATCAAATAATCATGGTCTTTTTTATGTTTTTTACATTTGTTTCACATTTTTTGTCCTACTTTATTCAGGTTTTCCAACTCTGACCCATTTCCAACTGGTTGGCACTGGTCAAAAACCAAAAAAACAAACTTAGTGCCATCTAGTCAATACCGACTCATAAAGACCTCCTTTGGGTTTCTGAGGCTGTAAATCTTTACAGAAGTAGATTGCCCCATCTTCCTTCTGCAGAGTGGCTGGTGAGTTTGAACCACTGACCATTAGTAGCTGGACATTATCTAGTTCTTCTGGTCTCAGGATCAAATAGGCTGAGGTTTTCATGCCCCAGTATTCTTTGGACTAATTGTTTCCATGCATCTCTGAAAATATTATAGAAAGAAATTTAAACTGAAAAACTAAATGTAATTTTCATAAATCTTTTCAAATCTGTATGGATTCCAAGAATGTCATCTGTCAGTCTTTGGCTCAAGTGTCCATTCTTCTCATTACAGTCAACAAGGAAAGGGTGAAGAATTAGAAAAACAAAACTTCTCTTTGCTGAATTCATTAAAAAAAGTTAGCCAAAGAGAGATACTGTACAATAGTCATTATTATTAATAGCTAAAAGTTATTGAACATTTCTCTGTTGCCAAACACTATGCTAAGTCCTTAATATACTATTTCACTCCCTACAACAACACTATGTGATTGATACTATTGCGATTCTCAATTTACTCCTGAGGAAAGTGTAAAGTGTAAGTTCAGAGAGGTTCAGTAACTTCCCTGTGGTCCTACAGTCACTAAAAGTTGGCACAAGACTCAAATGCAGGCAGTCTGACTTTTGTCTAGAAACTACCAAGCCACAGTCACCAAGCTTTACTAATTACCACCATAATGGTGGCCTAAAAAACCTACTTTCTCAATTTTTTGTTTAATTTTACTCATTCATTTGTTCAAGAAATAGTATGCTATAGTATAATGAGTTAGGTACAAAGCATATAGCTGGTGTGTGAGGGGAAAAACAAGACAGAGCCCAGGCCCTGTTTCATGTTCCTTGGAGTCTACTGGAGGAGATTGAAAATGAACAAGTACACAAAACCATTTTCACATCTGCTCTAAAGGAAAGTAACAAGATGCCATGAGCAAGAAAACAGGAAGACCTATTTGAGGTTGTAATAGTATAGACACATTAGAATTTCTGGGAGATGAATATGTATTCCAACTTCATAACCTAAGGCTCCATATTAATCTTGTTCACTTTAAATAATGCCTTGTTTTACTAATTGTAGCCATAATCACGTAAGAATCCTGCCCCTACAACCACTTTCCTAAGATAATAAAACCAAGACAGGAACAGCTCACAGGACAAGGCAATCACATTCCTCAGATTCTGATAGCAAGGATAAGACACTGAAAGAAAAACAATACAAATATGAATTTACTGCTTAGATGGCATTTCCTGATAACAGGCCATTTTTTAGGTATTTTCTAGCCACTCCCCATGTTGTTGTTGTTGTTGTTGTTATGTGCCATCGAGTCAGACCTGACTCATAGCGACCCCTCCTTGGGTTTCCAAGGCAGTATCACTACAGAAGTAGATTGCCCCATCTTCCTTCTGAGGAGTGGCTGGTGAGTTTGAACCACCAGCCTTCTGGTTAGCAGTTAAGTGCCTTAGTCACTACGCTACCAGAGCTCACCCGACTCCCCATAGTCACCGTTAACCAGTTTTGGAGCCTGCATACCCCTGCCACCTGATGATCTAAGATAGCCAATCTAAGATGAAACCAAGACTCAAACCAAGAGCAAACAGCAGAATACACCTGTGCAGAAGTCGTGGCATCCATGTTGAAACCCACAGACTCCATCTTAGAAAGAGATTGCACATGCACCTAACCTGAAGGAAGCTGAGGTTTATCATTAGGAATTTATCACAGCCTTGTTCTGCTGCCTGACTTTCACAAAAGGGTCTGGATTTTATGAGTAACCTGCTTGCATAAAGTCTTTTGAAATCACATACCCCAGGACCTTGAAATTATTAGAAAAACCCCTAGCCTGTAAGGCTCAGGAAGACACACATGACATTGCCTCTGGCCCCATGTGTCTCCACCTTGGAAGGTTACTATCCTCTCATTAAACTTTTCTTTGAGCTACAGCTGACTTTCTAGTCATTATTTTGGAACTCGAACTACAACAAGATGATACTGAAGGACAGAAAAGTCTCTCTGGAAAAGGAACTTTTAAATTGAGACCTGAAGGAACATAAAGAACCAGACATGCAAAAGACAGACCAAGAGATTTCCAGTAGAAGAAATGGCAGTGTCCGTGCAGGAAGAAGCCTAGTATTTGCTCATGTGGGAAGAAGGACTTTTTCTGGCTGAAGTCCTGCGAGAGGGAGAAGATGTAGCATAATTTTGTCGTTGTCGTCATCGTCTTTATGTTCCGTCAAATCGGACCAGACTCATAGCGACCCCTCCTTGGGTTTTGGAGGCAGTATCACTACGGAAGTAGATTGCCCAACGTTCCTTTCAAGGAGTGGCTGGTGGGTTTGAACCACCAGCCTTCTGGTTAGCAGTCAAGTGCCTTAGGCACTATGCTACCAGAATTGCTATGGCATAATCTCGTAGACAGACATAATCTTGTATAATCTCTGTAAAGACAGAGGCCTCACTGTGGAGGCCCTCACAGAGTGTGGTAAGGGTTTGGGAAGGAAATCACTGAAAGGATTTAAGGAAAAAATAGATTACTGACTTTGGTATTCAGAATGGGTTCTGAGGTAAGACAGGAAACAGGAAAAATGGACAGATAGATTGTAATAATTATCATTTAAAAAGTAAAAGGAATCTTGACTTTGTCATGGAGATGGTCAGCAGAGAGTGGAATGAAGCAGGCTAAATAAACCCTAAGGCCATTAGGAAAAAAAAAATGTTTGGGAGGGAATCTGATATGAGTCTAGAAAGTAACCTCCAAGAGCAACAGGCAAATGGGTGTTTGTGTCTTAACCAGGGTTCGAAATGGCTCATTCTGGCTTGACCTCCTGCTGAGAATTTGCATTTCCACCCCAGATATACTGAATCAAAATCCGCATTTTAGCAAGATGCCCAGGTCATTCTTATAAATTCGACCCTTGGACTTAACACATCTACCATCTTCTTTTCTGAAAATCTGGAGAGGTTTTTTTTTTTTTTTTTTTGCGAGGGGGTGTATCTTTTCTTTCTTTTTTTTTTTTTGCATCCATTTTACTTTAAATGAGATGTGCATATGTTTTAATAGGTATTTAAGGACCCCTATAGATTTTGTGGGAGCTCTGGTAGCATAGTGCCTAAGGCACTTGACTGCTCACCAGAAGGCTGGTGGTTCAAACCCACCAGCCACTCCTCGGAAGGAAGGTTGGGC